AACTGTACATATGGCTTACGAGGACTTCTTTGCAAGCATCTAGTGTTACTTGCAAAATTAGCAGAGGCTGACAATGACATCTATCCAAACATGGAAACAGACATTTCTACCTTGGCAAGAATTGCAGTGAAAGAAAGGCATTACTTTGTACACTGTGAGGACTTGAAAGTGATAAAAATGCCAAGTTTGTTTGGAAATCTGTGTTTTTTTGCATCGGCTGAAACACTTCAGTGCACTTGTTGTACGTTCTCTCACTATAACACATGTGCTTGCCTGAAGGTGGCTTGTAGCCATTTTAAAAAAATGAAAAACTCTCTGAAAAGTCCTCTATCAACTTTGAATGACACTCCTGTAGTTGAAAGCACAGACAAAAAATGCACAGAAGATGCAGTTGGAAAACTAAATGCTGTTTTAGACACAGTTAAACAGTGGGCATTCATTCCAGAGGGTATTACTGCAATGATAGATGAACTGCATACAAATGTCTTAAAAACAAAACAAGTAGGCAAAAGTATATGCCAGTACGAAATAAAGACGACAGAGAATGCACGCAAAATTAGGCCATTGTATTCTAGCAAGAAACGTTCGGCCAGCATCGACATTCCAACAGTCTGTGAAAATGAATGTGAACAGTCGATAACCACTGAAAGAGAGACATCCTCTGGAGAAAATGAAAACCTTTTGGAATACAAAACAAAAAAGAGAAGAGTTAAAGCTAAGTATATGCATAAGTAGACTTTTGTGTGACATTTCAAAGGGACTGCATCCATTACTTCTGTTTATTGAAACCTAAAGCTGAATAGCTGTCTTAACTTTCTGCCAAGGAACAGTTGAAAAGAAATTGTTTGGTCTCTCAAGCAGTTGTTATTTATGTGTGTTATTCATTACTTTGGCTTGGTTGCTGTTTTTGATACAAATTCATCTGTGCCCATTGTAATATTTTCATATGTTACTATTTTTATATTGCTATGCATTATAAATAAAGGATTACTTATTACTATTAAAGGTCTGCATTTGTAATTGTTGGTATTATTTATAAAATATGCGCTCTTAAGTTTTTTGCTCCATAAAACGATACCTGTCACTTTTTGGACATAGAGTATCAGCTGTTGAGAATCCTGGCTCATACAAAATAGAAGTAAAAGGTTTCAACATCCAGCCTTTTTATGATTAAATACAAAGTGTAATAACAGAGTTATTGGGGTGTGATTTTGTTAATAGTTAGTCTTAAGTATAAGTTTAATAGTAATGAGTAAGAAAATATAGCCAGAATAATGGAATGAGACTAACACCTGACCTCACACTGAGATTTGGTATGAAGTGGCATGTTTGTGCTAATGCTGACATTGGGGGCTCAGAGTTCCTCTGTGTGTATATATTTGTGAACGTTAACTTGGCTAATGTCCAAGGGTTTGACTGCTTTCCTGTTGGATTGTATCACAAAGAACAGGGATAAGAGCACCAGTGGCCGTGCACACCCTCATCTCTCTCCTTCACCCGATCATTAGTGTTGGAAACCGGCATTAGCTCAGAGTAGATTAGACTTCAGTATATGCAAGTGATTTGATTTTATGATTATTTGATTCAGTTTTTTCTGTGTTCAAGCTCAATTACTTTAATAAAATATGTTGAATTCAAACAAATAAATAAACAAATAAACTGTGTACATTACCCTTTTAAACCTTTCTGAAACAAGACAGGTAAAAACCAGTGTATAAAAGTTTACATAGGTATAAATAGCTCTAACACTTTACTCCAGCCTGGCGTCCACACATGTGGACATCACATTTTGGGTTATTTAGACCAAAATACTAAATCTTGATCAACAAGTGCCTGATATACAGTTACGAGGACATTATACTGCAACTGTTCTATCGAAATTTCAAATTAATGTCCTCATATGTGGCTCTCATTTTTCTCAGAAACAAAAATTAGGTAAAAAAAACAAAACCTGGTAATTCTTTCTTTTTACATTCATCGGGTTCCAATCGGCCCAAATATCAAAGAGAAATTAAAAATGCATGCCATGGAAGATTTCGGGTCTTAGGGGGTTAAAATGACCAGACCCCTCCGGCCTGTTTTCCAGGCCACTAAATTAAACCCAGTCAATTACCAATTGAACAGAATAAAAACCTACGAGGTCCACTAATAGTCCAAAAGTCCAAATCTTTAATAGAAAAGACAGGCAGAACTCAAACAAACAATAATCCAAACGAGGAGCATATATAAACACTGGAAAGTAAATAATTATAAGTTATTAAATCAGACTAATTAAATACAGTAAAACTAATAAGGGAAGACGAACACACGGGAAATAAAAATAACAGTGTAAACATACCAAAACTCAAAATAAAACAGGAAAGTTACTACAAACCGAGTGTGACACAATTACATTCATATTGAAACATATGTGATAATTTTCTTTCTTTGTAGCATTTTTAAGATATGTGTTAGAACAGTCATTATGCTGTTTGGATTAGGAACCAATCATTTTTGCCAAATAGTTAACACAAACTTAGAACAACAATGAACAATTTTCAAGATTCTGATTTACAGAACAAACAAAAGTCACAAAAGGTTTCATTATTTAAGAGACAAGATCAAGTTTTTCACACAGGAATGAAATGACAGAATCCAGTGCAGCGGGGCCAAAGGTGTGTGTCAGCAAACTGAAGGTTGAGGAATCAGTCAGCTCATGTTTAAGATTGTGTTGGATTTTGAGAAGAGTCTGTCTGTTATTAGAAAGTAAGATTAACAATGTTACACCAATAACCCAAATACGGGGAAATGACAAATAATACCAAAAAAGATACAACTTTCATATTGTTTTACTAACTTACTTTGTCATATCAGCACTTGAATGGTCGATGCCTTTACAGACCATGTCTGTTGTGACATCGCAGGCCAATCTTCCGGCAAACCTGAGGGCTAGCTCCCCAGCCTCCTCTTCACTCAGAACACTAAACACTGTTACTTTAGTTTTGGCCTTCTTAGGCCTGTCAAGAATCATTGCGGGCAGTTTGGCTTTACGGCCCTAAAAAAGAAAAAGTGCAAACACCAAAAGAGCAGAGAGAGACACACATGCGCACAAAGTTAAATGCTTTTGTTTACATGGTGTAATTGTGTATATGTTGCAGCAAATGCACAATTTCCAGCCACATTGTCACTTCATTGATACGAGTAACCCGGATTTATTTCAGGTGACATCAAAATCACGAAATGTATATCTACCCCAATCAAACCTCTGAAAACATGAACTGACATGTTCTCTGCGTTGATTCTGCGCTTGATCTCGTCTTCTGTTATTGTGTAGGTTTTCTTTTTTGAGCTTGGTACAGATAAGCGACCATGCACTCTGTAAACTGTACTAGTTCCTTCTGAATCAGTTTGGAATTCTGTATCTGCATCGATCCTGTCAACATCATCAGCAGCAGCATTATCTGTACTCAGACTTGTGCCGTATACTTCTGTTTCTTTTTCTTTGTCTTCAGTCTGTGTACCTTCATCTCTGACTGTCAGTCTTCCTATCTCACTGTTACTTGTCAATTTGCTGCAGATGTTCTCTCCCTTAGGAACTTTTCCTTTGTCATTCGCTGCCTGATGCTTTCCCTGATGACATTCTTCACTGGCTACTTCTATTGCTCCTCCTGTATAGCCACCCACTATGCTGCACAACTCCTTTCCCTCTGCTGTGCTGCACTGTGCTGTTACATAAAGAAGAATGATATAAACAGCACTATATCAATTTAATTGTGAAGAGAAATCCCCACAATACGACACAGTTATGTCTAAAATAGTTTTGTGTAAAAACTGGATCTTGAAACGTCCACTTTAATTACACAGTCCTGGTGTGCAAAGGCAAAATTACGAAAAAAAAAATTCACTTTAAACATTTTTGGACGTTGTTTAGTTATATTGTGACTTACTCTCACAGAAGATACAGATGCCACAAACAGACTTTGAACAACGCATGTGCTTGTATGCACCACATTTCTGGCACTGCACCTGTGAATTAAAAAAAAAAAAAGAAGAAGAAATAAACAAACAAAAAACAAATGAACAAAGTCCATTAAATAAACAATCTATATGGCTAAGGACATGTCATAGTGTACCCGGTCTTTGGCTGCAATCACACACCAGCACTGACTGCACTTCCTAGTTCGATCTGCAAAATATAATTTGTTTAAGTACAAGTTACATTTTCCAATGTAGAGAAAAGAAGGCAGCTAATTTTATCTTTACCTATTGAGGAAAATAAGTAGTGGCAAAGTCGGGACCTGAGCTTTGTGATTTCAGTGTTGTACTCCTCCACTTGTGTTTTACCGTCAATGAGAGATTGGGCAAACTAATAATTGACGAAGAAAAAAAAAAAAAAAAAAAAAAAAGAACAAAAAGAATTAGATTAACAAAGAAATGTTTGTTTGTTTTTAACCCCCCCCCGAAAAAAAAAAAAAAACAGAGCAACCAAAGCAAAGCATTACTGCTGAAATGGTTCAATCTACAAAAAAATTGAGATTTTACCATCCTGCCTCTAAGGCTTTAAAAACTGAATAGGCAAAAATGTAAACATTACTTATATAGGTTAAAGCTATAGTTTTCAGTACCATTATGACATGCACTCCACATGAGTTCCCATCCTGTTGATGTGGGTGGCTCACATGTGACAAGGTCCACTCTCCAGCGCAGCCTCTTGCTGAAGCAAATGAGCTGAGAGATCGCAGTTATTACAAATAAAAAGCATATAGAGAAATCAATAACCACGTTCGGTAATGATTTCAATTAAATTAAATATGTTATGTTAAATATGTTAATTAATTACCTCCAGTTTTTCAACACCGCACTTTTTCTGACCTCCGACTCGCCAAATGAATTCATATAGACTATGGTCCTCTTGGGTATGTCACAAAACTGTTTTGTAAAAAGATGGATATGGTAGGCTTGGGCCTTGAGCTTTCCTAACGAGGGACACCGAAAAGTATCATGCACTAGAGAGAGTGCAAAATCTGTGCAACTTACAAACAAGGTCCAGTGGCTGCCGTTTCCAGACAGGCTCCAATCAATTTCTCATACATCTGAAAGATGTTTTTCTGGAAATAAAAATAATGTGACAAGTATGTTTTTCTGTCAAGAATGACACTGCAAAACTGCAAAAGCTTGTCAGGTGAGACTTGTAATTAATTCTGCAGATACACAAACATATAGAAAGTGTCATTTTTGGTTTACATTAATTAATTTCTATAGTGTGTACAAAACAAATCAAGACCACAGACTCAACACGCACCACTAAATTTTTGGTGTTCTTTATCAGTTGGCCAAGACAGAAATGTTTTAATCTGTGTGCATTGCTTTTGAACAAGTCTTTACACAGAAAAGGTTTCAGAAAGGTATTTTTCAGGTTCTTCTGACAAGGCTTCAATTTTGGAAAATGCTGTTTGTTTATAGTGGCAACTTATAAACCCTTTGTGATAAGAACATAGTTACCACAGTCCAAGTCATACCTTCAAAAAGTATGCACTTTGTGCTCTTGTGGACCCATCCAAAATTTTTCCAGTGATTTGGCTTGGTATTGGATAAATGTGAGGGAAATTCTATAAAAATAACATAAATACACCTATGTTTTCAAATACATTACAAAAAACGTAAACATGCTATATCATTATGATCAAACAAGCTTTTCAACATACCTCACACTGCAAATAGATTAGGCCATCTATTACCTTATAAAACAAATAAATAAATACATATAAATAAAAACAGAACTAAGGAACACGATTCATTAAGTAAATTGTACAATAACATTGCATGTGATAATAAAAGGCTTGATTGGTTGATTATTCAACATGAGTTGACATTTACCTGACATTGTGAAGGAGTCACAGTTTCTGTAAGGGTGTAAGAACATAACATGTGGATTTGTTACACTTCTTTTTCACAAGTTAATAACAATCAATAATTTTCATTCCATTATTTACAAGCTATCACACGATGTCCCAGGGACAACATCTACACGATGTCCCAGGACAACATTTACACGATGTCCCAGGACAACATTTACACGATGTCCCAGGGACAACATTTACACGATGTCCCAGGGACAACATTTACACGATGTCCCAGGGACAACATTTACACGATGTCCCAGGGACAACATCTACACGGTGTCCCAGGGACAACATTTACACAATGTCCCAGGGACAACATTTACGCGATGTCCCTGGGACAACATTTACGCGATGTACCAGGACAAATTTGTAAATTTCTGGATTACTGTTAATCTCCATAGAATCAAGAACTCATGTCCAGTTTCACAGCTATGGACCAGTTAATTATGTTTCCAGGTGATAGTTTGATTCATAGATTCAGCACACAACCATAAGTCTAGGCCTTTTAGTCCAGATTCTCTTCACTTATGTTTGTAAAATGATCAGGGGAGCTACTGCAATTTTGCCTGACCCAACCCCCGGGCCACGAAACACCCAAAAAGTTGGGGAACACTGGTTAGCTAATGCTGTCGTCAAGTAGCCTATCGCTAGCAAACAAACAGCAAGCCAAGTGAGGAACATATGTATAATGCTTACCGTTTATTAAAGGAAAGTATCCTAAATTGACTTCAAATTCGGCGGACAGGCGGCGGTTTTTCGCTTCTTCACTTGTATTTCGAAATAATCGAAGGCGGGTATTTCGAAGTCGCAAAGGAATGACGTCACAAGAAGGTGATTGGTCACTTGCAATGTTGAACCTGGAACAACATTAATTATGATGATGTGGGAACAATGCTGACACGAGGAAATCAGATCGTCCTGTAACAAGTGTCACCTGGCAGTTTGTTGCTCTCTGCCAGGTGATTGGCTGAAGAGCTGTGAAAAGGTAGTGGGTGTATGGGGTGAAGTCAGCGCTCTTCTGTGGAAAAAAACCAGAGGCAATTAATTCACTCAGGTGCGAGTGGGTATACTGTCGGTAAGAGACTTTTGCCATTTTTGTTTGGATCTTTTGCATGTGCCTATTTTTAATGTGTCATTGGACTTTTTAGTGTGACCACGAATTTTAATAGAAGAATTGATCAAGCCCTAGATCGACTGCGCGCAGGGAAACTGATCAATATTGTAGGTATATTGAGTGTTTGTTTTAGCTTCATGATTTTGAATGGTTTATAAAATTGCTATTTTATTGGGTAATATTTTAATTGATAATGTTGTTTGTTTTCCAGCTGTGCTGTCTCTGCTGTCCTTTTTTTTTTTTTTTGTTCTTTTGATTGATTTGTAATTTTGTTTTGGTTAGTCCGTCCAGCCGTAGAGGCGGTTATTGATTGAGAGTAAGTTTGTAAGGGCGGACTAACCTCTCTTTTGTTTTTGTTTTTTAATTTTAATTGTTTGTGCCACTTCCCTTTATCTCTCAGATCACAGGCCATACATAGCACTGATTCCCAGCTGCGCTGAGACCCGAATTGTTTGCAGTGTGTGCCACGATTGCAGTGTCGCTAAGCGGGGTGTGACGGTTGCAGTATTATTTCGCACAGTTTGTGTGGTAAGTCTCATGTGCAGCTGGGATATCAGCAGGATGTGTTGTAAGTCCTGTCTGGAACGACTGGGAATTTGTATGTTTAACTTATGTAATAAATAAATGATCAATTATTTCTTTGCCCCGTTTACTCATCCTTGTCCTCGGTTACAATTGCATTACAAGTTTACCCAAACCTATCAATCACCATCATAAAATAGATTAGACTAATAATCAACTCATAAAGTGATATTTTAACGTTGGAGTCTTGCATATGTTACATCAGTGTAACATCAGCGTTAGTAATAAGCGATGTGATCACGTGATTCCGCATGGATTTCCTAAAATGTAACAAATGATGTTACTTTTCACTGCGCTAGAGGATACTTTTATTCTGAAGGATGCAGAGAGGAAGTGTTGTCGTCGCTGTTAGGAAGCGTCATTTTTCCTGCTTACCTTCTTACGCGTAGCTCACAGCTCAGTTGGGAAACTGACAGAGAAGCCAGCAACACGCCGGCGTGACAACCGCAGCGTTCGGTAAGATATGAGACGTGACGTGACGTATGCACCTAAAGGCTTATTCAAGTGAAGACTTTACTTTTATAATGTTGGGGAGACCTGCAGTCAGCTGAGACCGACGGAGTTACCTGGATGCGTGACGAAACGTTTCTCTCGATGAAAACGTCCAGATGACCAGAATCAACATTGAGGATTTCCTTTCGTCACTTCTCTAGTTTTGCACACCTGCCAGTCCACAGCAGTGACGCTGAGCACAACGCCGTGGAACTCCTTCACGCGCATTAGCGGGTCCAGACGCTGTTAGCTTTGAACTTTGGTCCGCGTTTGGCAGCTGATAAGTTACAAAAAGGTATAAAGGTCACGCTGGTCTTTGATCGTCGGTGATGTTCTTGAGCCGTAAAAAAGTCCGTCTGTGCGTCCGATATCAACACGAAAGAGCTTATTTGAAGTGCAGTAGTCATTGTTGATGTGCTAGCTGTAAAACATTTGCTAAAGACTTTGGTCAAATCTACAATCAGACTGTGTGCAAATAGACACTCAGTGAATGCCACAGTAGGCCTCCCGTGGGTGACTGACCTGTACCTGCATAGCGTCACTAAACCAACGAAGAAAAAACTTGTCATTAAAATTATACTTTAAATCAAGCGCGTGTGCAGTTTAAGATAAGATAGAACTTTATTAATCCCTCGGGTGGGTCCCTCTGGGAAATTCGATTTCCAAAAAGCACAGCACCGACAGAAGTTACAGTTACAGAATATTTTTATATATATACACACACACACACACACACACACACACACACACACACACACACACACACACACAGACAAATATAAATAAAATATACAAAGGGAATAAATAGGAATAAAAATACAAGTGAATTGCACATTTCAAGTATTGAGGTCTATTGCACCATTGACTATTTACAAAAAGTATTGCACAAGGTATTGTGCAATATTGGTATTTAGTTATCAGGTATTAATGCACAATTTTGAACCCAGCATTACATTTATGTTATTGAATCTTCAAGGCCACTAAAATGTGTACATTAATGCATTTAATCTGACTTGTACACTTTCTTAAAAGAAATATCTGATACTGCGCTTCAGTCAGCTTTCATCACAGCACAGGACCTGTCTTAGTAAGGCCTCTGACTCTGGACTCATCTCTGTGCTTGTGCTTGACCTCACTGCAGCATTCAGTACTGTTGAGCATAATATTTCAGTGCACACATTAAATTGTGCTTTCACAGGGTCCAGTGCTAGGACTAGTTCTGTTCATTTACTGTCCCATTTTCTTCTGTCTTGTATCTCTTCAGAGTGCACAGTGCCTTAAAACATGATGAACCGTGACGTGGCTGACCTCCCCAGCGGCCCGCTCGATGTCTACAGGAACAAAGCCTCCTTCAGCTGGAAGGACATGGTCCGCTTTATAGATGGAGAAGATGTATATCTATTCAAGGTAACAGCACAGGCTGTACTCACGGCATTGTGTATTAAACAGCGTTTGCGTGAGATCAGGAAAATCATATGGTAAGCCTAAACTGTTGTAACTTGCCACTGAGAAGCCAAGAGATTTTCACTTGGAGCATAGACAGGATGATGTATTTACATCCTCACCTTTAACTATTGCGTTTTCACTTCTCTTAGAATAAATCATCACACTTCTCCATGATTCTGCTTCTGAGCACACACACACACACACACACACACACACACCACACACACACACACACACACACACACACACACACACACACACACACACACACACAGGTCCGGTGCAGCATCATATCTTGTGGACAGAGATATGTTGTTCCTGAGACATGCTGGGGCTACTCTCCTAGCTTGAGGGCCATTGCACCGACTGGTTCGATTACCACTGGGACCACCGTTACCTTCACCCTCCACATCTTCTCGAGCTCTTCTCTGAGCCCTTGGTACTCCTCCAGCTTTTCGTGTTTCTTCTTCCTGCTGTTGCTTTTGATTCTTACTGCTGAGATATCTTTGAAGCATTGAAAGGTTACTCACGGTTTATCATTATTCAGAGTGTGACCTTCTGTGAAGGAAGATTTGAAGTTGAACATCACACACACACACACTCTCACTATTATGCAATATAAAAAGTGACATGCACTTCTAATTTCAACAGCAAGGCACACTTACAGAAAACAGTAAAGTGTGAAATTACTGCCTACGTTAGTAAACAGTGGTGCCAACTGGTGGATGAATATAAAAATGAAATATTTAAAGTGAGTAGTCCATCCATCTATCCAATTTCCTCTGCTTATCCTGGGCTGAGTCCGCATCGCTCCAGCTGCAGCACCACTGCGTCTGTTGATCCCCTGCTCCCATCACTCGTGAACAAGACCCTGAGATACTTAAACTCTTCTACTTGGGGCAGCAACTCGTCCCTGACCCGGAGTGGGCATCTGGGAAAAGCCACACAAAATCTGAGACCACCCAAGTGGAACATTTTTCTTCTTCCATTCAAATTATGAACCGGTCCCCCTATAGTTGGAGCACACCCTTCGGTCTCCCTCCCTGCCAATGGGAACTGTCTCCTCAGGTACCGCCCCCGTATCTCCACACAATATTGGAGAGGTGTGTTAACCAAGACAGCTCTACAACATCCAGAACCTTCAAGAACCTCAGTGAACCTCATCCACCCGAGGAGCTCTGCCACTAAGCATTTGTTTAACTGCCTCAGTGATCTCACCCGTCCTGGAGGATGAGTCGCCCCCTCGTCCCCAGACTCTGCTTCCTCTATGGAGCATGTGTCCGTGGGATTAAGGAGGTTCTTTGAAGTATTCCTTAGTGTTCCTAAAGTAAGTAGTCCAAAATAAAATCTTAACATAAAGGATAAGTTGATGTTAAGATGAATGTGGGATTCTTGTACGTTCTTGTTACCATTTCCAGGCTGAAGAACAACCTTTGAATTTGCTACATCTGTGCCGCTCGTAATGCCTTCCTCTTTGGCTAACACTTTAGCTTCTTGCAGCTCTTCTTCAAACGCTGGCAGTTTTCAGAGCAGGGCTCAACTTTCATCTGCAGAATTATGCGACAAATACTTTTAATTTATGAAAGCTCAAGCAGCTATCAGCTTAGATTTAACTTTGTGATATTGACATTTTTCATCCTAAACAACTGTATTATACAATGAATGTCATGCAAACAAGATCACATGGAGACATTTCACCTCTTTTAATGTTCATATTTTTTTCCATTAAGCCATGGCTATCAACTATGAAGCATTTTGTCAGGTGGATTTCACTTTGTCTTACTCTGTCTGGTCCTTTCCACATTACAGCAACATGTGTTCAGGACACTGGAGAACGACCCTCTGTTTGCCCGTCAGCCTGGTGAAGATGTCCCCATAGAGAAAAAGAGAGAGTTGACCTTTCTGAGGTATCTACTTGGTAAACTACAGCTGAAGTTATGTAGCACCTGTCGTGTCCTCTGTTCTGTAAGTCGGTACTTTCTAAAGACAATAAAACTCCATATGAAAATTCACAGAATGAAGCAGCTGCTTCGGTACAACTTTGTCACCAAGGAAGAGGCGATGGCCAATCCCTGGAAAGCGATGTACCTCGACGACTGTCTGGGCATGTATGACTGGGCCTTGGTTGCTAAGCTCTTCCTCAGCCTGGGGGTAATTGTGTTTGAGTAAAATGTCCTCACACAGACACACAGTGTATGTTATATGAGATGACTAAGATTGTGTTTCTGAGCAATGTTAAGAAGGTTTATGACTTGCAAAGCCACAGCTGTTTTCACTCTAAAACAAGCGACAAGCAACACTGTAATTTTAAACCATAGAACGTGTGATTGGTTTGTTTGTTTGTATTTCCACAAACATTAGGAAGTTTCTAGTTTGTGGATTGAGCCACTATTATTATTCTCCAGGATGCATTTAGCAAAACATCACTAAAAGGGTATTCTGCATAAAGATCGGTTGTGTTAAAATCAGTTTTTAAAATTGGGGGAAAAGCTTTCATTTGTTTAATATCTTCACATAGCTGTTATTATTTGTTTTTCTTTTATCGTGTCATTCAGTTAGATTCAAAACCTTTTATGTTTCAGATGTTTGGAGCAACTGTTGCCAACTCAGGGTCAAGCAGACATAAGAAATTTGTTGAAAACACTGAAGACATGAGGGTAAGACAGCGAATCCTGAGTAAGAGGAGAAAGGAGTCGACTGCTTACTATCTGCTGTTGTGTTCATAAAACTTTGTATAGATTTAGATCGAGTTACATATGTGCTTATAGATCTTTGGATGCTTTGCATTGACTGAGTTGAGCCATGGCAGTAACACCAGAGCCATGAGGACCACGGCCAAGTATGACCCCTCTACTCAGGTCAGTACACTCTGAAAACACACACACACCACCTTGCAGGCAGTCTTTATCTGGATGGGTTTTGGATGTCATTCCTGGGAACTGCTGGAGCCAACTTCCCATTTTTGGGATTACTGCACCAAATGCTCAGAGTACCACAGGAACCACTTCCTGGGGATTTTGATATCAGCCACTTTTTCTGTCTGCTGGTTGTACATGCCATGCAGGGGCCTCTTCTTCCATGATGGTTCCACTTCTCGCTCTTCATCTTTCTTGGGTTTCTGCTGCCTGAGGAATTCACTAAACACATAATCGGATGTGGCCATCTTCCTAATGTACTCATGGATCTTTGTAGTTTCATCTTGAAAAGTGTTTTTTACACACAGTAGCCCATAGCAACCTTACTTCGCCTTAGCGTGTAGTCTCAGGGTGCTTTGGAGTGAAACCCTTCATGCATGCTGAGGTCGGGCTTGTCCTCCTTTGACTAGCTGATTATTCCCTGTTTTTGTTACCATCCAACTACACTTCTCATGTTCGAATGACATTCCAGTGTCATTGCTGTAGATCCTAGTGGTATAGATCAGTTAATCAATGTCTCGTGAACTCTTGGAGTACAGTCATCCATGTAGAGGAGGTGCCTGACAATTACTCCATGCCGTAGTCGGTATCCATAGCCAGATTTGATGACTTCACCGAGGGGTTCAGGCTTATGAAGAACAGTGGGGAGAGAGCATCTCCTTGGTAGATCGTGCACTTGATGCCACTTGCGCTATTAGCTTGAAGTTGGCCTCTAGTGTTGTTCTTCACATCCCCACTGTAGGTTCTGAGGGTCCCCTTGATCCCTAAGAATTCCAGGATCCATGTGTGGAGCATTGAGTCATTGAGGCTTTCTTGTAGTCAATACAGGCGGTGCACAGGTCGGTCAGTCTGGTCTTACAGTCTCGGGCTACTGCTCTGTCTACCAGTAGCTGCTGTTTCGCCTTTCGTTAGCCCTTCTGAGCATGTCTTTTCCATAGCAGCTGGTTCATTTGTGCTGCCAGGTGCTCATGGAGTGCAGTTTGCTTCTTCAGCCAGTGGGTTTGGATCATCAGGGCCTGGTGTTATCCAGCTGTTCATGCTGAAGACTCTTTCTTGGATGTTTGCCACTGTGATGGTTACTGGATCCTGTTCAGGAGGTTGCTGTGGTCTGCTCTTATGGTCACTGAGCGTTGTTGTTAAGTATCGTCCTTCTCCCATATGGTCTTCCAGTATTGCTCGGTCTCCAGGATTGGTAGGTAAAGGAAACGGTTTCCAAGGCCTAATCCGTGGATCGACTTCCTTCGAGGCGTGGACGTCTATCAGCAGAGAATGTACCTTCACCTATCAGCAGAGAATGTCCCTTAGTCTGTAACACAGTCAAATATATTCTCAAGTAATATTCAAGCATGCCATTCAGCGTGTTAGTACGAGCTCGGGAGCAGCTTGGGAGAACAAGAAAACAGAGACTGCTTTAGATTGTCTTCCCAAATTGACTCAACTTTATTCACAAGTACAACAGTTTATATAGAGGGTAAAATTCATGAGACAGCAGATTTATCAGTTTAAACCAGTACAGACCAAGATAAGGGAGCGTCTTCCTGCCCTTGGGTGAAGAAGCATCCTTTGTGTAGTTTATTAGTTCAGCTACAATTGTGATTATCTCAGCGACATATTTTCAAGGCACAAAACAAAGAGTTCTTTCATTAGTGAAATCTGAAACAAACCATCTGGCCTTCAACAGGCGTCTAAAAGATTAAGAAACTAATGTAGCTGAGGGAGTGATCTCTGTGGTATTTCAACCTTGTACCAGCCTGTGATTCTCACACATCAATTCTTGGGTCAAATAGAAAAATAACTAAAACAAAGGGGCCTTATTGAATGACAGAGTTTTCCTGCATAATGTCACTATAAAACAATATCCAGTAAATGCTCCCATGGTGCTAAAATACCTAACAGTAGGTATTTTCTCATACTGCTTCTCCTACTGCTGATCTGATCGAGCAGTCTTGGTTTGGTGGTCGCCTGGAAAATGGCATTTGTCTGACTGCACTGTGGTTACGGTGTGGGGCTCTGCCCTGTAGATCCAGTTCAATTCAATTTTATTTATACAGTGGCAAATCACAACGACAGTCGCCTGAAGGCATTTAATACTGTAAGATAAAGACCTTACAATAATACAGAAACCCCCAAAATCAGACACCCCTGATGAGCAAGCACTCTGGCAACAGTGGGAAGGAAAAACTCCCCTTTACAGCTACACCCTCCAGAAATGCTTCATCTGGGCTCTTATCTAGAAGTTGCTAAGCTTTCTCTTCCACTTCCAACCAACCACATTACATTTTAAGACTTTTATATAAGTTTGTTAAAGTTGTGAGCTTAATTTTAACTGTCGACTTTTGGCCGTTTCATGCGATCATGTCATAAAATAATGAAATCAAATAAAATTTTAATTTAAAATTATGAGGGCATTTGAGAGCGCACCCCTTAGGTCATACAGTGTAAGTCTCTAATAGCTGACTTTTCATTTGACTAATTGAGGGTCACATGGAGGAATTTTAATTTCTCCTCACTTGAACTGATTTCTGTTTCTCTTCTGTAGGAGTTCGTGATCAACTCTCCGGACTTTGAGGCTGCAAAGTTCTGGGTGGGGAACCTGGGAAAGACTGCTACCCATGCTGTGGTGTATGCTCAGCTCTACACACCTGATCAGGTGTGCCACGGACTGCACTCTTTTGTTGTCCCGGTGAGTTCTGGTGAATTTGAATATCTTTAAAGAAATGGCTGCTTGCATCACAAGGTACAAGGTAACTATCAGAAAGTCCAAGAGCTTTTGTGTTGTCAGGTAGCTATTCAAATAAGACCATCAACTACAACAGTGTTTAGAGCCATAGGAGACCTCACAGCTAAGTTTCTATTAACTGATAGGGATGTGAAGCTCACTACTGCTGTTTTGACACTGTGTCGAGCTTCTGAGGTGCTGATGTTTCAGTGTGGTTCAAATCATCCAGGTCACGTGACTCAGAGCGAACTAGATTTATGTGCGCTTCAGCAGAGGATGATTTAGCTGATGGACGTGCATGAAATGGACTGTAACATTTGATCAGAATTAGACCCTGTAAACAAATGTTTGTTTTTCTGAAGAAGGAAACAAATTACATTTTTTCATTTAAATATAATTTTAAATTAATTAAAAATAAAAGTTAACACATGCCAGCTACTTGCTTTACTTGACAGTGTGTAGAGGAAACCTGATGACATGAGCTCCTAGAAAGTTCTGAGGGCTGTGAGCAAGCTAACAAAAAACCTGTGTTTATACTTAATATTATCATTTATGTTTTATTTTAGTGAGTTATTGTGAGCAACACAAATGTTAACAGAGGGAGGATTTTGCTGAAGCACTCTGTTCATTACTGGTGATGGGAATTGATAAGAATGTAGTGATTCTGATTCCATTATCAATATCAGTTATCAGTTTGATACCTTATCTGTTCTCTTATCGATTCTCACTGGGTTCTTGTTCACTTTGTTTTGAGAGTCACCGCCGTTGCTAAGCAGCAGGAAAGAAATGACAGTCATGCAGATTAATTCCATGCTGTGGGTCAGATGTGTGTCCACGGTTGTTGAGGTGTTTACCTTCTTTGTTGTGATTAGAGTTGTTAATTAAAAACGCCATTATTACACGTTTCACAGAACACTTTACTTAAAAGTAATGCAGTATGATACTTAATTACTCCTGGGAAAAGGTTATTTATTATACTACTTGTTACATAAGTTGCTCTATAAAAAAGCTAACAATAAAAAATAACAACGAGGCTACAACTCCACACGCCAGCACAAATCTTCCATCTCTAAGGTCTTTGTCTTAGTAGAATTCAAAGCTGACTGCAAAAAGAAAAGATGGCTGCTGGGCTCGGCATTCATTCAGCTTTCACTCTGTGTTCTTAGCTAGCTTTGCGTTAGCATGCTCTATTAGCAGATGCTTGCCAAAGTAGTGTGAGGAGTTTCCCACTTTACCGTTTATCTCATCCTTTTGTGCAATAAATGTAAACGTCCATGTCCACGCTCTAGACTGTGTCGCTGTTTTCCTCCTCTGACCCGCGGACTGAAATCAGCTGATTGTAGTGCGAGTGCTAGAACTGGATCGATAGGCAGACTAACAAGTCCAAGGAATTGGACTACTGGGAACTGGTTTTCTCAATTCCCATCCCTGTTCATTATGGTTGCAGCAGGCTCAATATTTTCTTGCCTTGTTTGTGCGGGGATTTCCCCAAAGTGTGTGGTGGTCTCCATTATTGACAGTCTGGTGGATTAAGTAGCTTTGTTAGGAATTGTGCTGGACTTGTCTGTGTTACGGTTTCACAGGGTTGCAATAGCCAAATTGGCCAGCAGGTGTCACTGTGGAGATGGGATTCAGATTGTTTTGAAACCTCCGTACACGCCTCGCTCTGCCCATCACTAGTACCTGATCATTGTTCAAGCTCAGATGGCGTCCCTCAAGTAGCTTTTTTTCAGCTGCACCACAGCAGATATCTGCCTCTGTCTCACCCCGTCCCAAGCATCCTCTCGTTACAGCAGCCCTCTACACGTCTTCCCTTACTGGAGGACATGTAAATCTTTTCCGTGGTTCCTCTTTTCCTGTTGCTTGCATGTCTGTCTAATTTTGTCTCCAGAATGCTTGACCTGTGCTGTCTCTCTAATTTATGTCATTCCTAATTTGGTCCATTCTCTTCACTCTCAATAAAGAAACCTTAGTATCTTCCACTCTGCCACTTCCAGCTTGTCATCCTGTCAGCAGGTCTCACTTCCACCAGATAAACCTTTCCTTTTCACTCTTAATGCTATTCTTCTGTCACAAATCCTCATGTCAACCTACCCTGCCTGGACTCTGCTATCGCTCACTTGTGCGCTGTGCATAACCTGCAACGTGGGCTGCACGACCCTTACAGAAAGGAAGATGCATACAAAAGACTATTTAATTTAAATAAAAGCAAAATGGTGTGTTCTTTTCATTATTTCTTAAAAATGATAACTGTCTGAAAAGACTTGAGAACACCACGATTTCTAAAAGCGTTAGAAATCATGTATGATCAGCAGAGTTGGTCAAATAAAGTCATACTGCAGGTATCTTATACTGTGTGTTATTTTCAGCTGTTTGTGTAGATTTGTGTATTATTTGACACACAGCCAGTTAAGCTGTAATCACTCTGCTCCAGCTGAGAGATCCCAAGACCCTGCTGGCTTTGCCTGGTGTGCTGGTCGGAGACATGGGGAAGAAGCTGGGTCAGAATGGACTGGATAATGGGTAGGTGACTGCAAATGCTGCATTTGTAAAATAAGATGGAAAACACAAGCAAATAAAGACATGATGCCCTTGATGTTGTGGAAATGTTCTCACTGGCTATTGCAGTCAACAGGTAGAGTTGTTGGTGTGCTGGAATGGTACACAGTGTTTCAGAGTACTGAAAGAACATTACAGTTATCTTCATGAATCTTTTTAACCACACATTTGACATGTAGACTGTATGACTGTGTCTTAGGGGTGGGCGGTATTATGAATGTTTATATTAATAATTTTATCCAAAGAAGTTTCCTCAGGTAGTTCCGGAAATAAAGGAAATTGACTCTTTACAAAGTGGAGAATTTGTAAATAGCGTAAAAAATGCTCCAGAGGAACATTAAACTGCTTCAGGAGCTGCGTGAATGAGGCAACAATCCCATCTACAAAAAGGTCTTTGATATTTCTAAGGCCATTACTTTCCCATATTTTAAAGGCAGAGTCCATCATGGAGGGAACATATGATTTGAGCTGATCGGTGCTTTAATTGACATTAAGGGTAACCCAAACCTTTTCCTACATTGCACCCAGATTCTGAGCGTCATACAGCAAAGGGTTACGTTTATAGTTGTACAGTTCTAATGGGAGCGCTGCACTCAACAAAGCTCATAGGCACGTTTGACTCAATGACTCAATTTGGAGCCAAGATGGAGTCTTTGTAGTGAAACTACTCATCCAGTGCAGCATATTTCGAATATTTGCTGCCCAATAATAAGACTGAAAGTTTGGCCTAGTCCTCTGCATGAAATCTTTACGAATTCGTGGACTTTTGCCATTCCAAATAAATGCAGAGATATGCTTAGTCAGTGTTATAAAATACTTATTGGGTAAGTAGCAAGCAAATAAAGGAACTTGGGTCGTATGTTCATTTTGGTAGAACTGATGCAGCCAGTTAATGACAGTGGTAAACTGGTCCATCTCTGAAGATCTGTCTCAGTATTCTCAAGCAGCGGGACAAAGTTTCTTTCATAAAGACCTTTGTATGAGTGGGTAACCTTAACCCCCGATAGGTCACATACTCTGATTTAACTTTAAATTGAAAATTTGAAAATGAAACCTTCCTGGCTACAGAGTGGACACAGAGAAGTTCACGTTTATGCAGGTTCAACTTGTAACCTGAAAGTTTGCCAAAACATTCAAAAATAGTGAGCACAGGGAAGAGAGCATAAAGGCTCTGACATACACAGCAGGAGGTCGGCAGCATATAAGGATATTTTGTGCTCCTGGTCAGCTCTCATGATGCCCTTAATGCAACTGTCAGCTCGCAGCTTAATCACCAATGGATCAATTGATAACGCAAAAAGAAGAAGGGACATTTCATTGTTTTTCTTTACGCTACCTGTTCTGACCTGTCTCACCGATGTGATGTTTGTGTAATGTATGTATGGCTGGAAGAGGTCTAATTTCACTGCAGGCAACTGCAAGTGAAAAATAAATCATCATCAACATCATCCGCATCCTCCTCGATTTCTCAGTTTTATCTGAATGTAGAAGCAGAGGTCATCCAGGTCTTTTTGGTTTTAGATGTCCTTGATCCAACACAGCTGATTTAAATGGCTGAATGACCTCAACTGAACCCTTGGTTTAGTGAAAGTAATTGTTGAAGTTAATTCGATGATCAATTGGACAAAAAGAGTCTAAATATCAGTGGTATTGAAAGTAGCTGTGCATAACTAAACATTTGGAGCACCGAGCTAAGCTGGTGAATCCCTACAGACAACGTGAATGAATACTGTGAAAAAGCAGGTGATCGAACAAGATAAAACACATGAAGATTAGACTTATAAAATAAGATGTTATGAGTTATTAATTAAACTGGCTACATAGTGGTATTTTTGTGAACCTTATCTATGTGTTGTAAAAGGAACAGTAAGTGATACTGCAGAGAGCCAATATCAAGTGAGAACGCCTCCCAGGAAGGGACAGATCAGAGATCTCTGAGGGCAAAAGTCCAATCATGTTTGTGTGTTTGCCCAGACCTTGTAATAACCAGCAAAGCCTATCCACAGATATAACTAAGCATCAGCACATAGGGGATAATAAACCATCGATGTGCTTCTGACCAAAGTAATTTAATGCTTCCAGTAAAGAGTAAAACTTTAAAATTACAAAATGCTGTGTCCTTCTGCAACGCACTAATTACTTTAAGTCATCTGGAACTGATAGACATTGGCCTCAGTCTGAACCCGGACTTTACTTCAGATTGGATCCACAGTATCCCACCCGGGATTAGAAGACCATCAGACGCTCCATGTTGTCCTTTAAAAAAGTATTGAGAATAATCTCATATCGGTAATGATAACGACAGAAGATTCAGTAACATTACAAAAACATCACAAAGTAAGAGAAGAGGGAACAACTGACCACATGTCCATTTTGGATTTTATCTCTGAAGAGATGCATTGTGGGACTGCTGGTCAGTTTAAAGGGACACAGTACTTTTTATTGAGCAGGTGATGAGAAACATTTAGCGTGGACACAGTAATTTTCAATAAATTCAAATATTTTCTTTGGTTAAATACCATATATAATAATATTAGGCATAAATATAGAGATTTTACATAGCATGGCAGAATTATATCTGTTTTATATGATAAGGATTTTTATGACATTAACGAAAAACATAAAAAAATTGATCCAGACACATACTGGTGATGAGAATTTTGAAAAAACCCATTTATTCCTCGAGGTCTCTTTGGTTTTGGAGAATATGACCTAGACTTACTAACCACAGCTTTGTGGGAATCACCCAATTCAGTTCCCTGCGCTATATTGTAAATAATAGAATATAATCCGGTGCCACCTGAGGGCCTAAAGATGATGGTCATCCAATATTGGATTGTTAATATAGTGTTAACAAAAGAAAACTGCTCCAGAATCTTTTGTTAACACTTTGTACTGTAGATGATGATGATATTCATAAAATTCACAATTTTATTTTAGCAGTGTTCAGAAATGGTTCCACCTCTGCCCATCTTTACTTTCTGAGAAAATGTACCACCTCATTTTACAGTCTTTTGTTGCCTCCATCCCAACTTTTGTTCTTTTAAATGTGTTGGTGCCATAAGACTAAAAATTAGAAAAAAAAAGATGATGATGATGATGACAACAACAAATATCTGCCTGACCTGCCTGCACACCAGAAACAAAGAAACATTAGGATCCACTGAATGGCTCGCTCTTTGATGTGTAACAATTCTTTTCTGTAACATTTACGTCTTTCTCTCACAACAGGTTTGTGATGTTCCACAATGTGAGAATCCCACGCGAGAACCTGCTGAATAAGACCGGAGATCTGACTCCTGATGGTCGCTACGTGACACCATTTAAGGTCCGTGCAGATTTCCAGTGGCAGCCAAAGAAGGCACTTCAAACTCAACAGCCTGATTTCCTGTGCTTTAGCTTTTTTAGATATAACCTTTAACCATATTCTAGAGAACAATGGGTTTATTTCAGAGATGCTCTTTCTTTAAAGAACTAATTATTTATAAGTTATTGAAATTATTAGCGGTTAAAAACACTTATCAACAGCAAATGTAGAGATACAGTCACTTAGCTGGCTGCAAGCAGCATTTCTGACAACCGGCGGTTGAAAGCTGCTGGGAGTCCCCCCCCCCCCCCCCCCCCCCCCCCCCACATGTAATGTTGTTCCTTCAGTGTGTTGGTTTCAGACATTATGCAAATGTCCTGTTTATAAGATTGAAAGCTGCAGTCAGCTGAGACTGAAGGAGTCACCTGGATGAGTGACGAAACGTTTCTCCCACAAAACACTACGTCCAGATGAACAAAATCAACTTTTGGAGAATGTTGGGGGCTCTTTATGTTCCTCCCTCGCCTAACCCCACAGCCCCCCACCTGATTCATCTCGCTCCCCGCTTTGTGCCTATTGTGTGAAAGGCAAGCCTGTGACCACTAGAAGTATGAGGAGGTGGATGAAGGAGGGCTTAGCAGAACTACAGGGCTGTTTTGAGGTGATAGGCTGGGCGACACTCTGTGAAAATCATGGTGAGGACATCAATGAGCTTACTGAGTGTATCAACACAACCTTTTGCACCTAGTCCATTGTCCCAGCTTGGACGGTCCATTGTTACCCAAATAACAAGAGGAGGTGAGAATGGTTCAGGTGTTCTTAAGGGCAAGATAAGAGAGGCTAAGAACAATTACAGAAGAAAGGTGGAGTGGAAAGTCCAGCAGCATGAGAGAGGTGTGGAGTGGCATGTCTGCTGGACCAGACAAGGTAAGTCCCGATGTCCACAAGCCCTGTGCCCCCCCCAGCTTTGTGGAGTCTTTCATAAACTGTTCAAGATGAGTCTGAATCTGAGGGTCCCAGTGCTGTGGAAAACATCATGCTTCAATCCTGTACCGAAGACCCCCAGGATTACAGACCTACTAACTTCTTATGTCATGAAGCCCCTGGAACCATCTCCAACCTATTGTCAGGCCACTTATCAGAGGCTCTGGCGGGTGCAGCAAATTTTGAAAGCAGAACTGAGACGGAGAGCCGTAAGCTGCTCCAACTGTGTGTGCCGCCATCGTGGTATATAGTAGAGATGGACCGATCCGATATTACGTACTCAGTGCAGACTGAGTCTAAATCCCTGAAATGTCTCTGTCAACGCATTTCAAGCAGTTTGTCCAAAGTTTGTTCGTTCTGCGCTCCAGATGGGCCGAACGTGTTAACATGTTTAATCGTGATGACTGCGTTTAAGCCGCGTTAACGCTGACAGCGAGGTTTTTTTGTTTTTGGAAACTAGTTCGTCCATGTTTGGACTTCGTCCGTGTTGTAAATGTGCAAATCCGTCTGCGCATAATTACATTGCCCCGCCCATCAAAAAGAATATATCGCCCATGGGCGATTGTTGGATTGACTGTTGGTTGGAAAATTTTTACATATCGCCCGACCCTGGTCTGAATAAACTGTGCAGTCCAGCCACAAATCGAACACTTGTGTCCGACTCGTCTCTGCTGTGCGCCCTCATCCAACACCACGCAGTGCAGGGTGCAGGGTATAAGAAGGCTCCTGCAGTGGTTGGGTTACGTTAGCATGGCTAATGCCAGGTGCACAGTATCATCACCAAATACATGCAGATACATGTGGACGGGGCTTTCATCAGTGCTGGTGATTTTAACAAAGCATGGTTAAAGATGGACACACAGTACGTAGAATGTGCCAACAGAGGAAAAACACATTAGACCAAGTGCCCAGTGCAGTGAACCCAGTGAAGGCTGCCGCCTCTGATGGTATGTGTACTCAAGGCATGTGCTGACCAGCTTATGGGCGCCTTCACAAAGATCTTTAACAGATCCCTAACAAAGCCAACATCCTACCCTGCCTGATTTCTGCAATCAGGCTGTAATAATTCTGCCATCAGCAGACTGTGACACGGTGCTTAAAGGTCGATTCAATTCAAAGCCTCGGGCCGTCTCCTACAGCAGTGTTTCACTGACCTTAATAATCACCTGAAATGTTTAGAACAGAGCAGCACATATTACTGGCATAAATATTCAGGCATGTGTGTATATTTCTGTCAGTACTCTGTGCCTGCCCAGCATTTGAATGGCATGTAGTTGCTGGAACTGTGGGATCGAGAAATGAATGAATTCACATTTAAGTTTTGATTTTGTGTAAGAACATTAGCAATGCAGTTAAATAATCATTTTATGTTTTCATATTCAGAAACGCAATTCAGCAATCCTGTGAAGGACCACACGGACATTTTATGAATGACTAATAATAATAATATCTTTGCTGTGTTTTTAATCAGTCCTCATCAGTGTTTCTTTTGTCTCTTCCAGGACCCTAAAAAGCGTTTTGGGGCATCTCTTGGTGCCTTATCAGGGGGCAGAGTGTATATCACCAGGATGGCTCTTATCAACCTGAAGTTAGCTTTGACAGTGGCAATCCGCTTCTCAGCTGCCAGGAGACAGTTTGGACCCACAGACACAGAGGAAATCCCTGTTTTAGAGTACCAGTTACAGGTAATAATATCAGGTACAGGTAACGTTTAGTGGGTAAAATAAGTTTCACCCAGTTTTCTAACTAAATATATTTGTGAAAGTGTCTTTGACATTTTCACTAGGTGTTGGGAACAACATATTCAATTTACTCAAAAAAATCAAACCATAAATGTCTATGAATTAAGCTACATGTGAAACAGGGAAAAGGTGTTGAACACATGAAGGAAGTGAGGTGCCAAATGCATGGAAAGTTAGGACACTGAAGCCTGACAGCTGCCACCTGTCAGTAATTAGAAGACAGCACTGCCACAATATCAACATTAATACCAGCTGATTCATTCATAAGCAGGTGTCACACAGGAAACCTCTCGATGTTTAACCCCAGGGAGCTTTCTCAACACCTTTGCAACCTTATTGTTGGGAAACGTACTGATGTCAACGAGAATTTCCAAACTGCTGAAGGCTCGAGTGAGCACATAAACCGTCCACGACCAGGTGCAAGATTTCAGACAGAGGGGTGAAATGAAATATGAGAAGAGTTGTCCAAGAGTCAGTGACTACTTGTGGAGAGCTGCAGAAAGACCTGGAATCAGCAGATAGACAGCATGTTAGTAAGCGAGCTGCCTGCTCATGTTTGCCCCTCTGATGCTGGACAGGAGGCCCCGTGTGTTACTGAGGCAGGTTATTGGCCAGCAGATGGATGGGTCCGGTCCCTTCTCAGGATCCTTGGGGATTAGACCTTCCTGCCTTCAGTTAGACTTCCTGCCTCATCTCTTAGCAGCTGATTCATTGGTGCTGCCTGCACTAAGCTAGCCGCACAAAATGTGAAAGATAACACCAGAGTGTACTAATACTATGTAATCTATAATCCCCAGTTTAGTTTAATAATAATAATAATATAATAATGATATGATGATGATGATATGATGATGATGATATGATGATGATGATGATAATACATTTTATTTGAAAGCACCTTTCAGAACACTCAAGGTCACAGTAGAATAAAAAGCAACATAAAAGCATAAGACATAAACTAATAAAAGAGCAGAGTGGAGAGGTTATGTAGGATAAGTTATTTTGAACAAGTGGGTTTTGAGTTGGGACTTAAAGAGAGAGAAGGAAGAGATGTTTCTTAAATCAGGAGGTCGTGGAGCAGAGCAGCTGAAAGCCCTGCTCCTCATGGTGGCAAGACGGGGGGAGGGGACGGAGAGTGAAAGGGAAGAAGTAGATCTGAGACAACGAGATGGGGCGGTGATCTTAACCAGATCAGAGATATGGAGGAGAGAGATGATGAATAGCCTTAAATGTGTGCAAGAGTATTTTGAAATTGATGCCATATTTGACCGGGAGACAGTGAAACTGCTGCAGGACAGGAGTGATGTGGTGGATAGAAGGGGTCCTGGTGATGATACAGGCAGCAGAGTTCTGGAGCTTGTGGATGGATTTTTGAGTAAGACCAAAAAGAAGTGAATTACAATAATCAATCCAGGAAGTAACAAGGCTGTGGACAAGAATGGCAGCGACGTGGGCGGAGAAAAGGACGGAGACGATTAATGTTGCGCAATTGAAAATAATCAGACCGAGTAACATTATTAATGTGTGAATTGAAAGATAGAGCACTGTCGAGGATGACACACAAACTTTTCACAGAGGAAGAAACGAAGACCGGCGAGGTATTGATAGTAACAGAGAAGCTGTTGGTTCATGTTGATTTAGTGCCGACCAAGAGGAGCTCGGATTGAAATGTTAAAGTTGCACATGCACACAACTGCTCCAACATAACAGTGGTGTGAAAACCTTTAACAGGACCTTAGGTTGATTTTTGCATCCCTGGTTTTATCAGAATGAGGAAGCTGTGCACATTTATGCATGTGAGCACTGTGATTGAAGGACTGCTGACATTTACTGTTAGAGCCCATCAGACCAGCTTGCCTTGCTGAAGCGACTAAAACGTGGTCAGTTTTACTAAATAATCATTGCTTAGGAGCCATCCATAGATTAGATATTAACCACTGTCAGAGCTGTTTTATTCATTCTTATTTTCAGCGTTAGGTCTGTGGTGAGTTTCTGTTTAGATTTAAAGTTACTGTTTGTAGCAGTTACATCACTATTGTGTGCGCTTAGGCTTTTATTATTGGAATTAAAGTATAATTGAATCATTAAAACATCTTATACATTATGGAAATGGATGCCAAGTAACAATAAAACAAACGACTGAAGTTGGATGAATTATAAAATCTGGACTGGAAGCTTTGAATCTTTCCTCGGGGACACACCGTCACACTGCTGTTAATGAAGATGTAAAAGCAGTTCAACTACTGAATATCCAGAAATGATAAATCCTCACATAAGAAGGATTCAGATACAGTAACGATTTATGTAATGATCTGTATGCTGACGTAGTGCAGAGTAAATAAGGTTTGGTATAAAGTTTCCTGAGTCCATCAGTGTATTGTGGGAATCATTTTTTTAATATTGAACAGCAACAGTAAGTAAGTGAGTGAGTGTGGCTGCTGTTATTAAATTCCATCTACTTATTGTGTGTTTTCCCAGCAATGGCGTCTGATTCCGTACTTGGCGGCAGCCTATGCTCTTGATAACTTCACCAAATCCATCATAATGAACTTTGTTGAGTTTCAGATTGGACAGATGTTGAAAGACAACAGTGACACAGTGAGTAAACATGCAGCATGTGTGTATTTGGAGTGCTCGGTTTTTGTGAAGTAAAGTTGAATATATCTGTGTTTCTCAGGCAGGGATGGGCAGAGAGATCCATGCAATTGGTTGCTCCAGCAAACCACTGGGATCATGGACTGCTCAAAGAGGCATCCAGGAGTGCCGGGAGGCCTGTGGTGGACACGGATACTTGGCCAGTCAGTCTCTCTCTGTCTCAATATCACTCCTGCACATGCTCACTTAGGGCTGGCTGTCTCTCAGGAGGACGGGCAGGTCATCTACTAATCAGAACATTGGTTTGATCCAAGTCTGCATGTCAGCTATTGTCCAATATATTAATGTTGATCTTAAAATAATCTGCAAAGCCCTCTCAAAAAAGATTAGAGAAGATAACGCCCGTCACAGTGCATCCTGACCAAACCAGTGCCATAAAAGGGAGGCACTCATCCAAAAATACAGAATCTTTTCACTTTAGGCAGCATGTTTCTGGTCCCAGTCATATAAAGACACTGGTCCTTGTTCTCTCCTTGGATTTAACTATAATTGCTGTTTGTGTGGAGGGTTTGCATCTGAGTGACCACAGCTGCATATTTTTTATTTTGTCATTTTATTCCAAGACAAATTATAAACCAGGATGCTGCTGAAAGGTTCTCTGCCATGTTTGATGCTGATTTAAACTTAGTGATGTGGACTCAAAGGTTTCATCCTTCAGCAGTCAGTCTAACTCTATTTTAGACAAAGTGGCACCTCTGGAAAAATCTACTATCCTATGTTTAAAAGTTTGTCTTTGGATGAATGAAAATATTAATAATTTGATTATTGGACAGCATATCAGTTTCTTAGACTCTTCTGTTGAATCGAACCTCAGTGTCATATTCAACAGTTCAACAGAGCATCACTCCAAACGGCTGGTTCAGAGCCGTTTTTATCATCTAAAGCAGGAGTGTCCAACTCCAGGCCTCGAGGGCCGGTGTCCTGCAGGTTTAAGTTGTCCTTGATCCAACACAGCTGATTTAAATGGTTAAATGACCTCCTCACCATGTCTTGAAGTTCTCCAGAGGCCTGGTAATGAACTAATCATCTGATTCAGGTGTGTTGACCCAGGGTGAGATCTAAAACCTGCAGGACACCGGCCTTCGAGGCCTGGAGTTTGAGACCCCTGATCTAAGGATCTTGAGATGATTCTTCATGCCTTTATTTCGTCCTGTTTGGATTATTGTAAAAGTCTCTTTGCTTGTTTCTTTAGACTGTGCAGAATGCTGCAGCAACACTTTTAACTGGCACAAACAGAAGGTCACATATCGCTCCAGTTTTAGCTTCTCTTCATTGGTTGCCAGTAAAGTTAAAGTTTGGTTCAGGGAGCCTCTCTCTCTGTACACATCACTGACCCTGGATCAGCAAACGGCACCAGACCATCACACTTCCTCCTCCATGTTTGACAGTTGATGCCACACACTGTGGAGCTTTCACCTGCTCGACGGTGTATAAAGATCCTGCGTGACGAACCGAAGATTTCAAATGTTGATCCATCAGTCCATAACACCTTCTTCCAGTCTTCAGTAGTCCAATGGTAGCATTTCATGGCCCAGACGAGCCTCAGTCTTAGTCTGACGTCTGGCTTTCTTTCTGCAGCTCGTCCTGTCAAACCTGCAGCTCGAAGTCTTCTCTTCACAGCTGAAGCTGAGACTTGCTCGCTACGACCGCTATTACGCTTGAAGCTGTTGATCTGTGAGCCGCCATCACACAAGCTGTTAACTCTCAGAAACTTGTCCTCTGATTCAGCTGTGTCTTTGTGTCTGCCAGACCTCTTCCTGTCACAGTTCCTGAGTGCCTTTGATGGTGAAGGAATCGATTCACTGACTTTCTTTTAAATGTTTCTGTAGGAAAGACCTATATTTTTAAGTGTCATGATGGTCTGTCTCTCTTCCACTGTTAACTGGCTTTTTCTCACCATTTTTGTAGCAACATTGTTCTCTCTGGTGAACCTCCTTGGCTGGTCAAGGCTGTGAGTCGTTGCTTGGCAGTTTCCAAGGCCTCGGGAATGGACAGCTTGCTGTACTTGTTAGGCACTTTCTTTGTTGCACCTTTCTGCAGCTCCGATAGTTTGCTAACTTCCCTCTGTGCTACCTTGATCTTAGCCTCTAGTCTCCTTCTCTATGGAGGGTACTGCTCTGTTTGACTGTTGAGCTTGTAGCCAAGCATCTCACTGATCACTGCTGCTGTGGTGTAGATCGGTAATGGTTGCAGTAGGTATCGAGAGAGAGCTAAATCACATCAATCTTTGGTGGGACCATCCTTTGCCTTCTTCTATGTCCACACACAGTTCTTAAAGGAACTCTGCTGGTAGGTCGTTCCAAACATCTCAGAGAACTAAGCACAGGTCTGCTGTGGATGTCGGCGTCCTCACATCCTTCTGTCTGTAAGCCCAGACACACTCGATGTTGAGATCAGGGCTCTGTGGGGGCCGGACCATCCAGTACTTCTTGTTCTTCTTCACGCTGAAGATAGCTCTCCATGACCGGCTGTGTGTTTGGGCTTGTTGTCCTTCTGCAGAATACATTTGGGGCCAATAAACCATCATTTCTTCTGAAAGCTTTCTTTGTTTGCAGCATTTTTCACACCTGCCTAACACTTGTGCACAGTACTGTGTGTATACGTCAGTGTTTCCTTTTTTATTCAGTGAATCGGTTGGGTGACCTGCGTGATGACAATGACCCAAACTGCACATATGAAGGAGACAACAACGTACTGCTGCAACAGACCAGCAGCTATTTGCTCTCCTGGCTCCATGCAAAACAGCGTGGTCAGTCCTCTGTTCACCAGCAGATTATAAATACCTGCAGTAAAGGTCAATAGATGGGCTGGGTCAGTCACTGAAGCTTCTCTCTTTGGTGTTTGGTTATGGGGGGTCAGATGGTGTGCGGATTGAGTCTCCCTTTCACACCGTGGATTTTCTGGAGGAGTCTCAGGAGATCCTCAAAAGCAGGTTCACTGCACTCACAGTGGACGACTGTGTGGATTCTGCAGGTACGTTACTTTCTGCTACAGCTTCAAATCAACTTTTACATGAGATGGTGGAATTTCTTCCTTTCAGATCCTCTTAATATACTAAACCTTTTAAAACGGAGCGAGATTTGCAAATGAGGTAAATGTGTAATTTTCAATATGTTCCACAAACAAGAGTGTAGTGAACTTTAGTCACGTAGCCCTGATATTCATATATTCATTTCCCTGCTGACCCAGTAAGAAACAGGCTCCCTCCTCAGGATCTGGGGTCAGTTCTCAGCCCTCTGCTGTGGGTCTGAGAGGACCCCACACTGCACGCTGGTGCTAACCCAACACCATCGATGTGATTACAAAGGAGGGGAGGTGGGGAACATTTAAGAAAAAAGGAACATAAATAAAAAGGGGAACTGATAGAGCCGCATGTGTCTGCTTCTCTGCACTGTAAGCTGCCTGATTGTGATTTATAATAGTTGGCCATAAACATGTATCTGCCTTTCTGCTGTGACTGGTTCAGCTTGACTACAGACTATATTACTGAAACCTTTCCAGTGTAGCTAACATCCTCCCCCTTGTCTGTCAGTGCCTTTGGCAGCCTATAAGTGGCTTGTGTGTTTCCTGCTGGAGGAGAGTCAGAAGAAGCTGGAACAAGAGCGAGCGTCGGGCAACAATGACTTTGAAGCCCGTAACAACTGCCAAGTAAGACCAACGACTGTGTGCAGACACACACATACATCCAAACATCTGATTCTGGTGGCATTCAGCATCATATGCAGCTTCACTGGCCGAAGTTTGGACAGAAACTTGATGCTTTTTATCCAAATCAGACTGAGCTAAAGGTCGTTTGATTTGGATTCATCGATCTGAGATGAACTTACTCCAGACTGGCATGAACCCAGTATTTGAGATGACCTGTTACTGACACAGCCTGTGCTGCTGTCAGTGATGGACCTTGGAACTTGATTGCCTTTTTTTCTTAGTCAGCAGGAAGCTTTTATGGTCTGGGGAAAAGAGTATGAACACTATGAAATGTTCTGCCTCTAAGACTCTAAGATTTGTCTGTCCACTCCAACCTTATATCGTCTACTCAGGATGTAAATCATAGTAAACAGATCAGGTCAGAAATATTCATAGCAGGCTGTGCAGCACCATGATGCAGACATTAGCCTGTATCTGCAGTACTGTATATACTGCACCAAAAGTTACAGAAACCAAACGGCTTCCCTGATTCCTCGATCCATGGATCAGTCAGTAGTGAAGCAGTCGGTGTACTTGATAATATCTGAAATGTGACATTTGGGGAATACAGTGTCAACATCTCTTTCCACAATGAATGTCTTTGTTTCTCTGGACAGTCCACATGCACAGAACACAATATATACACTGTCAACAGAAACCTGATGAAATGCCACCCACTTTGTGCAGAAGAACATACTTCTGTCTGCAGTCAGCACAGTTTCCTCCACTAGCTGTTGCTTCTGTCATGTGACCTGGGGTAGAAGGAGACTGAGTCCTAATAAAGACAACAGAGCTTTTCTCTGTCCTAATATCCATCCGTCTCCTCCAATTATCCTCATCAGGGTGGTGGGGGGTGGAGCCTATCCAAGCTGCCACAGGGAGAGGGTACACCCCAGACAGGTTGCCAGTCCATCGCAGGGCTAGCATATTTCCTAATGATAAAGCGTTTTTGTTCTTAGTCAAATATAAATCAAAATATAAGTTTGATCAGTATATAAATAAGAAATGTAGTTTGAAATATCTGTTCTAATGCTTGAGTTCTGTGTGTGTCACATATTAAATACATAAATAAATACAAATAAATATGTCTACGTTTACCAGTACAATGAATCAGAAATTACAATACCAGTGATTCTAATAACAGAGCTGAGTACCCTGCGTCTGACTTACAGAGAAGTTTATTTTAGGCAACAAGAACGGGCCTGAAATAAATAAATAACCTAACAGAGTTTAAAAGTAAAAGAAAGTCTTACTCTGTATTTGAGTTGATGTTCATGTTACAGAAATGTTCATGTGAAATTACACAACTGTAAGCCAAGCATGAAGCCAAATGTGACTGAATGTTTCAGTGTGATGTGAACTTGGGAAAAGCAAAGAAACTGTAATGAAGTGATTTTAAAGTTTAAACTCAGAGTCAGAGAGAAGTAGAATAAAAGTGGGTGGACACTGATGGTTACATGGTTGGATGGTCAACATGCAAAGATGTGACGCTCAGTAGGAGAGAGGGGGGAGAAAGGGTGAGCAGGTACCAAAGTGGGATGTAAAATAGATTTGAGCTTCTTCCCTTTTATCTTGTGTCAGATGAGCAGTTCAGAAGATCTCAGACGGTCACAGCTGAACATGGCAGCAGTAGAGGGGGAGCTGCAGTCCGACCTGTGACGTGATTTTCTAATTTGTGGCTTTTTGTCTGCTCATTTGTTCTGTGCTAAAAGCTTAAATCAGAAGGATTTCGATTTGCATCATACGTCCAGGAGCTCGGCCTGGAATAACAGGATCGTTCTGTGCTCATCCTTTCTCCAACCTCTTGTTACCAAACATAACAGAGTCAGCATGAGCTCAGAGCAGATTGGTCAGTATAGTATAATAAGTTTAGTTCAGGTGATTTGATTGTTATTTTGTTCGTGCTAAGTTGCTTCAAATAGTGAACGTTCACTTTTTCATCTTTGGTGAAACGTAGAAGTCTGAATATTATTCTTTAGTGGGACAAATACAGGTAAAAAATAATCCTTCCTTGCTGTCCAGGCTACTGAAATCATCCCACAAATTACAAGTGGGCAGCAACCGCTAACAGATGGGACTGATAGGATCTGATTTAGGCTGGTCAGGTTTCTTCATACCAGGGTGAGCAGGCATGTAAGGCCCCTTACCCACACTGGCTCCAGTTAAACTCTGCTTTATCTACTGGTGAGACTCGGAGGATCAGAGGTTTAGACTTTTTAAAAAGCCAGAATCAGCTTCCTGTAGAGGAGTTTTGTGGGCCTGCGGATTGACACGTCCAGATCACATGCACGTGGTTAGATTACAAATCAGCTGTGTCTGTGTTTTTATGTCTTCAGTGTACTTAAATGTATGTATGTGTACAGGTTTACTACTGCAGGTCACTGGCCTTGGCCTACATTGAGCACACCTGCCTGCAGAGATTTCATGAGCTGACCACTAATCAGGACACACCAGCTGGTCTCAGACCAGTATTAAGGAAACTTTGTGCCTTGTATGGGCTGTGGAGCCTCAGCAGCCACATGGCGACACTGTACCAGGGTATGTAGTGGGCTCGATGCTGTATACACGGAGAAATCTTCATCGTAGTGATGTGGTAACACAGTGTTGTTGTTTCTAGGTAATTACTGGAGTGGACGTAAGCCTGCTGAGCTGGTCCAGATGGCAATCCTCACTCTCTGCTCCCAGGTACACGAGAAAGAGGCCGGATCTGTTTATGGCAGATATACAGGAATTTGCTCAAGTATACAGAAATGCATATACATTCCTATGTATAGGGCACAGCTCCACTTATTATCAAAGCAATTACAAATGCGGTTGCTGTAATAAGCACACGTGTGCATTTCGTACTGTCGTGTTTTTGTTCTTTATTCAGCTGTTTGTATTTATGAGTTAAGAGATGAGGAATAAAAACAGGAGTGGCTCCTTTGACAGAGTAAAGCAGATAATCTTACACATTCATCTTAAACTTGACATTTGACTATTTTGGTACCATGAAAGTCAAAACTCTGGTATGCTTCAGGGCGTGTCCACATTTTGATTAACGTGTCCACCGGAGAAGGCCGTATCCTGGGTCTCAGTCAAATTTGTGATTCACAACATTTGATTTCTAAACACAAAGACAGCAAAAAATCTCAAAGCTTCAGAATCTGTCGGTGACCTCAAAGCGACTCCATCCATCGTTTGGACCATGTAGTTATGCACTGACTCGTATGGTCTAACAGTGCCTTACTTGTGCTCTCCTGTACTTTGGGAATGTCTTCATGGAACAGAAGGACATTGAAGAAATGATGGCTTGGCCTGACTGTAAAATCTGCTCTGTCTCTCTCACAGCTAAAGGATGATGCAGTAGCCTTAGTGGATGTCCTGGCACCCACCGATTTCATCCTCAACTCACCTATTGGCTGCGCTGATGGACAGGTAAACACATACAAACACAGAAAATCCAGCTGTATCGTAAAAACGTTGCTGTCCGTCAAATTTCAAGGACATTGAAACATTTCCCTTTTATTTACATTTGGCTACATCGCAACACAAGTAATCTCAGATAATAAGCGTGAGAATCAGTGTTAAATACGTGAAGAAACACTTTTCCTTTGTCCTCTTCCTGCAGATTTACAACCACCTGTGGTCCACAGTAATGCAGGGCAGCAAAGTGCTGGAACGTCCATCCTGGTGGAAGGAGTTCTGCTCAGACAAACCTGTGCTTGGATCTCTGCGGCCTAAACTCTAAAACCCAGTCGTGCTCTGCAAAGGATCTCTGCGTGTCTGTGCAGTGCCTGAATTTGCTTGGGCTCAAATTCCAACAATGTTAGGAAATGTTGAACAAGTCCATTAAAAACTTTACAAACTCAAGATTTCAACAAGCTTTCATGAATCCTCTGCTCCATACACCGACATTTTCATTATCATTTAGTTGCACACGAGTGCTTAAACGTTAAGAAAACTGTGTGCTACTCAACAATAATTCAAATTAGTTGCAGCCCTAAGACCTCGAGCATTTCTGGTAACATCATTGTTGGTTGATAGCTGGTGTATTTTTATAGTTTAACCGTCTCTGCGTCCAGTTTTTCTAACTTCACACCAGAAATGTCGATATGCTGTTTTTTTCATCACATTTGTAGATCTACACATAGACTTGTGTATCACTATAACTAGATATAGAAAGATGCATTACACAGTATATACATGTGTGTATATCATCAAATAAAATGTGGCGTATCTTCTGTACGAAAACATCCCTTTTCACCCTTTGCTCATATAAATTTTACCCAATAAGAAGCTTTTATTTTTTTTAAAATACAGTTTTTAAATGACAATTTAATTAAGAAAAAAACAAACAAACCCTGAAGCCTGATTGGTTTTGTCACTTCATGCAGCAAGAACATGAGTTTTGCTCTCTAACAAAGAGAAGAATGTTGGGCCATCAGTTCATGCTCTGAGGCTCAGGCGCACTCTGGCTATTCAACAGGACTATGATCCGTCCACCTCAGCACAGTTTCCTCCACTATCCACCTCTAAACGACCGAAAAAAACGATTTTGGCCAAAGTCTGGACTTAAATCTGAGGCTTTGAGCTGGAAAACACTCCAGGGTGGCTGATTTCTTCATTTTATTTTGTCTCATTGCAAAGAAGACTAGACCCAAGTATACAAGGCAGGGCAGGGATAGCTCAGTAGGTAGAGTGGTTGCCCCATGATCGGAAGGTCGGGGGTTCGATTCCCCTTAACAGCTACCCTGAGGTACCCCTGAGCAAGGTACCGTCCCTACACACTGCTCCCCGGGCGCCCAATGGCTGCCCACTGCTTCACTGAGTGAATGGGTTAAATGCAGAGAGCAATTTCCCCACAGGGCACAATAAAGTACACACAAAAGTTCCTCCACAGTAAGGTGAAAGACTCACAGCCATTGACTGGCATTCTTACTGCACAAACAGTTACCTGGTTTAGGGGGCAATTTTTTTTTTTTTTTTCACAGGCTTAGGTAAGTTCAGCTTTTTCCCCTTAATAAATGCAATTAATTAACAGCTGCATTTTCTTGGATCTTTACTGTCTAATATTAAAATGTATTTGATCTGGAACATCTTAAGTGTGACAAATATGCAAAATATAGTATAAATATATATACATTTATATAAATATATAAAGAAGAGCAAATACTTTCATAGCACTGTGTTAAAAAAGAAAAATGCTGTTTCTGTGCTGTGCTGAGCTCTGAAACCTGACTCTTCAAATAAACCATTCCTCTGCAGATGATCTGTTAGCTGTTTGACAACTACTCTTTCAAGGATTTTTGATATGAAAGGAAGGTTGGAGATTGGCCTATAATTAGCTAAGACTGCTGGGTCTAGAGATGGCTTTTTGAGTAAAGGTTTAACTACAGCCAGCTTGAAGGCCTGTGGTACATAGCCGATCATTAGAGATAGGTTGGTCATATTTAAGATCGAAGAATTAATTAATGGCAGGACTTCTTTGAGCAGTTTTGTAGGAATGGGGTCTAAAAGACACGTTGATGGTTTGGAGGAAGTAATTATTGAAGTTAACTCAGAAAGATCAACTGGAGAAAAAGAGTCTAACTTAACATCAATGGTGCTGAAAGGAGCCAGCTGAGGTGGTTCGGGCATCTGACAAGGATGCCCCCTGGGCGCCTCCTGGGTGAGGTGTTTCAGGCATGTCCCACCGGGAGGAGGCCCCGGGGCAGACCCAGGACACGCTGGAGAGATTATATCTCTCGGCTGGCCTGGGAACGCCTTGGTATTCCCCCGGATAAGCTGGAGGAGGTGGCTGGGGAGAGGGAGGTCTGGGCCTCTTTGCTTAGGCTGCTGCCCATGCGACCCGGCCCCGGATAAAGCGGATGAAGATGGATGGATACTAAAAGTAGCTGTAGATTGAGTAATTTTTTTTCTCTAATGGTTCAAATTTGATTTGTTTGTTGCTGAGTAGCTGTGGCAGTTAATCTTTGGGCGTTAAATGTCGTTGCTTTGTCCTTGGCTGCTGGTAAGTAAGGGATTCTTAGGTTCTTGATCCTTCCATCACAAATAGATGCTCTGAGACACGAACCCCTTTCACTAGTAGCTTCTACTAGCCACCAGCTATAACAACTGCTTTAATAGTAGTTAAAGCTAAAATTAAGCATTAGATACTGTTACAGCCGTTTTTATCTCCAGCTCTTTTCTTTCCTTTTTTACTTTAGCTTCTTTTTCCTGTAAAATTTGCTTTTATTTTAAGGCTCCTGATCTGGCTAACAGTGTCGCTTTTTCCGACTCTGCCTTTAAACCACCAGATGATACACAATGAGACTACACTGTAGCCATTTTAAAACCATGCTTTGATCATAGCAGCATATGTGAGAGTCACCTTTTCATTTCTTTATTCCGCTTCATTAATGCTATTCTCAGTAATGATCGGCCATCTCGTCCAAGTGCAGTCTGCAAAGTCCTGAAAAGAAGCATCCTTGAAACTTTCAAGCAAGGTTGTTTGATCTTTGTTCATTTTTTCTTTAGAAACCTGTTGAAGCATCTCTTTAACACTGTTCACAGAAGTCTCCAACCTGCCGAACTCAACCATCGCTTTGTTTTATCTTGAATGTCATAACCCCAGAACGAGTTGACATAGGATTTTAAAATTCATACCAAAGGTGCAGTTTCTAAAATTCTTGGATAAGTTCACATAATACATGGCACTAGTCCAAGATGGCGGCCAACCAAACCGGTTTGACAACCGGTTTGACCGGTTTCGTGCGTGTGCTCATGCGCGTTCAGGTGTGGTGGGGGTATGGTTGTTCGTGTGGAAATACCACAGGGGATCAGAGGGGTTATATGAGTTTATAGGTTTTTAACGGGGTTTTAATTTAATCAAACCATAGGGTTTTTAATTAAACTATGTTTATCACTTAGGTGTATCGCAACATTCAGTTATGTATGTGTTCTTAAAAGCAATTCTTTGTTTCTTGTTTCATTCTTGACGGAGTGGAAGCTGTTTTGGTTCACAGTGCGCCTTAACAAAGAGGGGGTGCTCTAGTCAAAAGTGTTGGTAATAGTGTTTTAATCACACTAATTTTCTAAATCTGACAATGTCTCAGCTTGCAGTGAGGCATGCATTTTATTTTATAAATGGCACAAATGGGAATTTCTTCTGAATGGGTAATGTCAGCATGTTCACAAGCGTTTCATTTAATCAAACCCCTAGTTTTAATTTAACTAGTTTTTCTTTCCAGGGTTGATGCGATCATTTTATTTAAAAATCGGGATTTCGGAATGTTGAACTAAGAGTGAGACAAAGCCAGCCAGCTAGTTTTTAACACAGTAAATGTCACAAATAGCATTCAGTCCTTTAGAAAATAAATGCTATAAGCAGCCAGTATCGCTCTTTTCAAACTAATCGTCTTTTAAATACACTTATTTTGTGATTCCGGTGTCACACCTTGCACCGATGCGAGCATTTTATTTATTTAAAAACGGATCAAACGGGCCATTTCTTCTGTAAGGGGTTTCATGGTTTCAGAGTAGTTTTTAACACAACAGATAGTCGCAAATAACATTCAGCCCTTTAGAAAATAAACGCTACAGTGATACTTCTAAAACCAGTCGCCCAGACCCGCTCCAACTTTTCAACAGCTGGCTAATTGTTTGAATTTGTTCAGGATTGCAAAAGCCCACCGCTGGGTATCACTAGTTGAGAGTACCATGCGAACAAGGGCCCAGCCTATTGTTTAAAGTGGCCGGTATTGGCTCTTTTTGTAATTCCTCGACAAGGTAAATGGGGCAGGTGTAGCTACCAATCGGGTGGCGACCCCGCCTATTGTCTGAAGTATCGGCTCCTTTGTAATTCCTTGAGAAGACAAAAGCCCTGAAGGGTCTCATTTAAATTGGTTGGAGACATACCTTTCTTTTTGGAAACACCACCCTATATACAAAACAGGCTCAGAGCCCGAAACCCTGAGCCATTTACGCCTCAAGATTCGCTGCAGGGCACACCATTTTCTTTGCGATCATCAACACTAACATCGTTCTTTATAACATGGACATGTAAACGGTAAGTAAAACAAAACCTATTATTGTATTTTTAAAAAGTGTTATGTTAACATATTATAGGATATTCAAACTATTTTTTTTCCTAAAACAAAAGCTTAATTTTTAGGAGTTCGGGAGAACGGCCCAGGACCCTTTTCTTCAGAAACGGGCGCTTTTACAGCTGGAACTACTTCTCTAACAGGCACAAGGTGTGTACAGCATTACTGGGTTTTAAAACGTATGTATGTTTTAAACTAGCGATTGTTTTAAATTATGTAATAACGTTTTTGTTTGATTTGTTCCAGGGTTAACAAACTGAGCAGGAAAACATTCAGACACCGCGACCACAGAGCCCAACCTTACATCAGGTGTGTATACAACGGGATGTATAGTTGTGTATTATTTTTTTAAAAAGAAAAAAAAATTAAAAGGGGTTTAAACAATTACAAATGTTCTAAACTGACCGTTTTACACACGCCAGAGAACCGTGTGTGTGGAGGAGCAGGACCATCCCGAATAACGCACACTACAAGGTAAGCATAGGCATATATAAATGAGATAAAAAGAGATAGAGAGGGAGACACGCTTATTCAGTTTGAAATGGGTACATGTATAAAATGTTTTAACACATGTCTATCTATCTTCACAGACTGCAGAACAGCACCCCTCCTCATAATGATCAGGACACCGTACGATTCCAGACGTTTTTGGAATGTTTAAGCAGTATCGACCTCCCAGAACAACAAAAACCTGGAGCTTTGTGCAGCAGTGGAGAGTCAGAACAGATCTTCATCAGCGAACCTGCAACACCCCCGAGTGAGTGGCTACCTCGTGATTTCTCTGATGTTTTTGAGTACAGTATATCAGATTTTGATCTAGTTCATATACCCACCACCCCAGAATGTGTCAGAAAGAGCGTTGATTCACACATAGATTTCGAAGAGGGCGGCATAACAGACTCTCAAATATCAGCGGCGTATGATGTTTACATGAAGCTTCCAGATGCTCAGCCTGCTGAACAGAGTCATATAGCTTCAAAAAATGATATCCTATCTTTGATCGATGCTAAACTCAGCCAACATCAACAAGCAGTACAGGGCGACTTGCATGAAATAGCTGGTGGTCTAACTAGTACCCGGCAGGCAATAAACAGTACCTGGGGTTTATTAGATCTCATTAGTACCCGCTTTTTAAATCGCTGACTTTTAAAATCCACACCATGGACCCACCCCGTAAATTATTCAAACACAATGATGGTACCTCCACTCGAGCTAAATGGTTTGACTTTGAGGCTTATAACCAGTGGGCTGCGCAAATAGTAAACAAATGCCAAGTTTTGCATGCAAGACTTAGTAGTGCAGCAGCATCATCCTCATCTGATACACATCCTCGTCAGACTGTTCCTACGTCTGCTATTGCTGATGGGGCTATTGTTGCTAATAATAGTGATAGTACAGCAGGTGTTGCTCGGGCCGTTGCTGTTACTGATGCTAACCATATAGCTGGTGCTGCTGGTGATTTTGCGTCTGATGCACAATCTAGCCGGGTCACCTCTGCTGCAGCTACTGCAGTTGTTATTGAGCCTGTTACCGCTTCTACTATTACTTCAGCCACACATGTGTGTCCGGGCTCCGCTGGTGATGCTGCAACACCACACACCCCCTCAATCATTGTAAATGTCTCACAAACAGATACTACTGTAATTGAGCCCGTTGTGCAGTCTGGGTCCGGCAGTCGCTCTCAGCCACACATTAGAGAGATACCTAATTTTAATGCTCGCGAATTGCGTGAACGCCTTGATTTTAGAGGTCTCGATCATCCAGAACAAGTGCTGGCGCGAGTGCGCGAGTGCTTAGCCAATGTGATAGACAGAGCTGTGGCGGGATCCCAACAGGGCAGTGTTCTAAACGTGGTCCTGCGTGGCCCCTCGCTGGCTTCAGATGTTCAGGCTGTTTTAAACGCTGATGATCGGTATGATCCGGAGCTGTTTCTCGATCAAATTGCACAAGTTATGCAGAGTAATGATGAATCTATCGGTGATGATGAATTAGAGTTTATTGTCACGGTAGCTCAGAACAGTAGTGGTGGGTCTCGCTTAAGACTGGCGCACATACCTTACGATGAGATTCTCTGATGATCCCCTGTGATCATATGAAACATTGCATGCACTGTGGCACCACATATAGAGAATCCAAGAAATTGCCACACAAATGTGCGCAGCCTGGATGCGAGCACTGCCGCGAACCTAAATTAGCAGGAGACTCCGACCATCAGTGTTTCATACAGCCTGTTGAAAAACAGAAGCCTAACGATAAATACATTTTATATGATTTTGAGACGCGGTACCACAACGGTAAACACGAGGCTAACTTTGTGTGTGTGTCTGATCTGAAGGGCAATAAGTTCAGATTTAATACATTAAAGTGTGTGGAGGCGTTTGTGCAGCATTACAGACGCCCAAGGTTTCGTGGGTACACTTTCATAGCACATAATGCATCTGGCTTTGATAACTACATACTCCTCGAGTACTTTGTCAGACAGAGCATAACACCTAGTGTCATAATGAGCGGCAGCCGTGTGATTTTAATGCATGACAGGGACTATGACCAGCGGTGGATTGATTCGTTCAGCTTTTTGCCCATGGGCCTTGCCAAAATACCCTCTGCTTTAGGTTTTCAAGACCTGCAGAAGAGCCATTTCCCACACAGGTTTAATACGAGGGATAATGAGCGTTATGTGGGCCCGTACCCAGATCCCTCCTTCTACGGCTATGAGCACATGTCTGAAAGCGATAAGGTGCGATTCATGGAATGGTACCAGGTTGCCTCACAGAATCCCTTTGATTTTCAGGCTGAACTCAGGCGTTACTGTGTTAACGATGTTGATGTCCTGCGTAAAGCATGCAGCATTTATCGTGACACGCTACTGGGTTGTACTCAAGTTGATCCATTCACGTATACCACCTTGGCTGCATTTAGTATGGGTGTGTATAAAACGCTGTTTCTGCCTAGAGACGCGCTCGCTCTCACGGGGCATACGTTGAGCAGAACAAGACGTTTTCTAACGTCACTGTCTGAAGACCGTGGTTTTTTAAAACACACACCAAAAAAGAACACCCCTGGTGGACCGCTGCGACATAGTACACTAAAAAAAAATAAAGAATAAAAAAAAACAAATTAAAGGGGGGTCCTGTAGAGTGGTTGGATTTTTGAATTCAGGTTTTTTTCTTATTGCAGAAATTGTTCTTCTGCTAAAAATATTTGCTGTTTGGTGTTTTTCAACTGTTATGTTTTTTTTTCACTTATTGCTGCTAAATTGTTTTGTTTTATTTTCTTTTATTACTGTTAAATATTTTATGTCTTTTATTTATGTTTAAACAAAGTATGTTATGAATCTATATATATATATATATATATATCTATATATATATATATATATATATATATATATATATATATATATATATATATATATATATATATATATATATATATATACGAGATTTGATAATAAATACCATTGACTCGATTAAATCATGCTCTCATGTTGTTTTTATTATTATTCTCATTAGTACATATCAGTATCCACATTGCACACACACATAATCACTGCATACAGCAACAGGTTGTATGTTGTTGACAAATCGACACACCATAGCATCATTACAAATTAAATTAGACCCATACATGTTAAGCAGGCGGGCATAAGATACACCATTTTGCATATGATATTAAAAAAAATACACAATGTTGACCACATGTGATGGAGAAGTCCTTCTGCACTTGTTTTCCTGAATATAAAACAGTGGAACAGTTTTTTAGAAGAAACATCTTTATTGCTGGGGGGAAACTGTCTAACGAGTGTCTGTGAAGGTTCTCAGTCATCCAGGTCATCGTAGTCAAAGGAGCTTGCAAAGAAAAGCGTCTGGACTTCTTTAAGTTGCTTGAAGACGTTTCACCTCTCATCCGAGAAGCTTCTTCAGTTCTAAGGTCAAATGGTGGAGAGTCCCAGATATAAACCTAGTGGGAGTTTCCCCCCACAGAGGGACAAAAGGACCCCCTGATGATCCTCTAATCGCCTGAGCCAAGGTGTGAAACTGGGTGTGGGTCCCAATCAGCCAGACTTTCGGGTGAGTTCATTGTGAAACCTGGCCCCACCTTATCATGCAAATTCCTGAGATCAGATGGCCCAGGATGTGAGTGGGCGTTAAGGCGTCTGGGGAGGGAACTCAAAACTGGATTATAGATGGCAGAGAGTTGGTGTCGTAAACCCCGCCTCTGTTCAAAGATGGTCGCTCACAGTGGACATAGATGGCTTCTTTCACTCCTCTTTCAAACCATCTGTCCTCTCTGTCCAAAATGTGAACATTGGCATCCTCGAAAGAGTGACCTTTGACCTTTAGATGCAGATGGACAGCTGAGTCTTGTCCTGTGGAGGTGGCTCTTCTGTGTTGTGCCATGCGCTTGTAAAGTGGCTGTTTGGTCTCTCCAATGTAGAGGTCTGAGCATTCCTCGCTGCACTGTACAGCATACACCACATTGTTGAGTCTGTGTTTTGGTATTTTATCTTTCGGGTGAACCAGTTTCTGTCTGAGCGTGTTGCTGGGTCTGAAATGCACCGGGATGTCATGCTTGGAGAAAACTCTCCTGAGTTTTTCTGATACACCGGCTACATAGGGGATGACAATGTTGTTGCGTCTGTCCTTCTTATCCTCCCTCGCTGGTGTCTGGTCTTCTTTTCTGTGCCTCTTTGCTGACTTTAAGAACGCCCATTTAGGATAGCCGCACGTTTTGAGTGCTTCCTTTACATGTGTGTGTTCCTTCTTCTTTCCTTCAGGCTTAGAGGGAACATGTTCTGCTCGGTGGTGTAGGGTCCTAATTACTCCAAGTTTGTGTTCCAGAGGGTGATGGGAGTCAAAGAGGAGGTACTGGTCCGTGTGTGTGGGCTTCCGGTAAACTTCAGTGTTGAGGTTGCCGTTCTCGTCAATGTGCACAGCGCAGTCCAGGAAAGGCAAACAGTTGTCCTTTGTGTCTTCCCTGGTGAACCTGATGTTTTTATCCACAGCGTTAATGTGCGCAGTGAAGGATTCCACTTCTTGTGTCTTGATTTTGACCCAGGTGTCGTCTACATATCTGTACCAGTGGCTGGGTACTCTTCCTTTGAAAGAGCCAAGAGACTTCCTTTCCACTTCCTCCATGTAAAGGTCCATGTAAAAACCCTTGTTGTATTTAAATGTGTGGTGGTGAGTCAGAGGTCTAACAGAGTGCTAACAGTCTGATCGGGGGTGATCGCTTCTCTCTTCTTGTAGGCGTTTTACCAAACCAAATCAAAGCAACTAGTACTGAGTCTCCCTGTCAATGTTGCTCCAACAGTGTCATGAGAAATGTTCATCAGCACCATCATTAAAACTGACCAGTACTGTCTTGTGACATCACAGCTATCGGACTCAAAAACAGGTCATTGGCAGCTAAAGTCATATAACATACTGCCAAGAGATGAAAATACTGAAAAATGGTGAAAGCAAAGTTTTCAGCCATGAGATTATTGTTTATGCAATTTTAGGAAAAGATCATAATTTAAAAAAAAGTCTATGCTACTGGGGATGGTAATACTGTTATTAAAAATATGATTAAAAACATAAAAACCGCTTGTCCACATTTTTTTAAGTTTATTTTAATCAGAATATGAATAGTGTAAAATTTGAGCACTTGAGAATCTCTCAAGTCTTGAATGTTTGAATTCAGTGA